TTTAAAATCACCACTTAAAAGCAAGTAGCTTTTAAAAGCTGTACATACACACAAAAATGGCCTAGCAAAAAGGAAATCAAGAAAATAATTTTATTTATGAGAACAAAAATAAATACTTAGGAAAAATTTAAGAAAGCAAAAATATTTATACAGTAAAAACTATAATGAATTAGTGAAAGGAACTGAAGAAGACAATAATAAATGAAAATATATCCCATATTCATGAATTGGACAAATAGCCATACTATCCAAAGCAGTACACAAATTCAATGAAATCCTTCTCACATTCCATTTGCATGCTTTACAGAAATATAAAAAAAAATCCTAAAATTCATACTGAACCATAAAAAAACTCCATATAGCCAAAGCAATACTAAAAAAGTTGGAGGGAGGACACTTTCTAATTTAAAATTACTGGGCAAACTTGTAGTAATCAAGCAGTTTGGAACTGGTGTGGAGTAGAACATAAACATAAAATAGAACATAAATCAGCCCATAAATGTGTCCAAACCATGGAGTTAGTTAATGCTCAGGAAGGGCACCGAGGAGAAGACACAACAGGGAGAGGTAACAATGGCTTCGTAAACTGCAGCTGGGAGACTGGATTTCCATGTGCAAGAGAATGGAATTAAACCCTTATCAAAAACCCATGAAATATGTACAAAGGGCCTAAATGTACGATCCAGAACCACAAAACTCCTAGAAAGGAGCATGAGGAAAACTCTCTGGGACATCGGCCAAGGCAGCGATTGCTTAGATATCACACTAGAAGCCCAAGCTTCGAAAGCAAGCACGAATATATGGGACTAAAGTAACCCAAAAACGCTTGTGCGCAGTAAATAATGCAATGAAAAGGCAACCTGTGGAGTGGGAAAAATTAGTGAACCACTTATCTGATAAGGGGCCGATAACCAAAACTAACAGTGACAGTGACAAAAAGCCTTTACAACGCAATAGCGAAAAAAAAGCAAATTTTAAAATGAGCAAGGATCTGAGCAGATCCTTCTCCAAAGAGGATGGGATATCCTCTCCCGGGTCAGACTGGATGTCCATTACCAGAAAGACAAGAGGTACCTTCCTGTAAGCGGCCTGAGGTGACCTGTGAAAAGGGTTCGCTACTCTCTTGACCCAGAGAACCCCACAAAATCATGCAAGTCAAGGGGATCAAATCTTCGTGTTCACTGTAAGAACACCCGTGAAACTGCCCAGGCCATCGAGGGTGTGCGTATCCGAAAGGGCACCGTGTACCTAAAGGACGTCACATTGAAGAAGCAGTGTGTGCCATTCCGGCGTTACAGTGGTGGTGTTGGTAGTGTGCCCAGGCCAAACAGTGGGGCTGGACACAGGGTCAGCGGCCAAAAAAAGTGCGGAATTTGCTGCACACGCTTAAAAATGCGGAGGGTAGTGCTGAACTTAAGGGTTTAGATGTAGATTCTCCGGTCATTGAACGCATCCATGTGAACAGAGCACCCAAGATGCGCCGCCGTACTTACAGAGCTCATGGGAGGATTAACCCATACATGAGCTCCCCCTGCCACATTGAGATGATCCTTACTAAAGTGTAAGGATCCCCCAAAGGAGCAAGTTGTTCCTAAACCAGAGGAGGAAGTTGCACGGAAGAAAAAGATAGCCCAGAAGAAGCTGAAGAGACAAAAGCTTGTGGCGTGGGAATAAATTAAGCATAAAATAAATGCAAATAAAAGTAAAAAAAAAAAGACAAGGGTGAACACTGGCAGGAGTAGGGCCGGGGAAAGCTCTGCACACTCTCCGTGTGAATGTAGGTGGGGCCACTTCTAAGGGAGCCACAGAGCTGCTGAATAAATTAAAAACAGAGCAACCACACAACCCAGCATCACTCCTCTGGACACCATGCAAGGGGACCAAGTCATCACCTTATAAAGCCCCTGCGCTCCCACCCACACTGCAGTGTTATCCCATCCGAGCGGCCACCCACAGGGGACAATGAAAGGAAACAGGACAGACACAGCGGAATACTAGTCAACCATCAGAGAACGAGGCCTGGAGCTCATTATGCTAAGTTAAATGAGCAGAGGCCAAACCTTCATAAAACATAGAACTGGCTAGCAGGGGCAGGGCTGCCGCAGGAAACAGGGACCCACAGATGCTGTGAGGTGAGAAAACCTGGAGACTGAACGCATAACATGAAAACAAAACTGTACTTAGTAAAACTGTACTAGGGATTTTTGCTAAGTAGATTTCGTACGTGTTTGTCAAAAAAGTAACTATGTGAGATGACAAGGCATCAATTTGCTTCACGTAGTAACCATTTCTCCGTCTGTATGTATCCTATAACATCATACTGTAAACCTCAAATAACCACAGTGAAGTTTACTTTTTAAACAAAGAAATGGTTGTTTTATATGAGCTTTGAGCAAATGTGGGTTTCTAAAATCTCTTTACAAGTTAATAAGGCGGCTGAGAAGGTCGGTTCTACCTGACTTGTAAGTGTGTCATACAGAGAAGTGTGTAGATAACCTCTCCTCCCTTTCTAGCACTGTTCACAGGATCGAGTAATAGCATGCATTCTGAAAAATAATTTCACATTATCGCAAATGTCTTAGGTGGTAATTACTTCACTAATCAGGTCTGCACATTCGCCTCCAATTTCAAATCTTGCAGCTTCACAGGAAACTTTGTCAACCACATCCTGCATGACCTACGTCTTTGAGATTTTCCTTTCCTTTCTTCTTCATGTCAAACATTGAAATACAAGGTGTAACTCCTAAGTATCTGGATCTAGACTGAGAAAGAGAACAGAGCCCTTCGAGGAATCAAAAGTGCACGGGAGGTGGGGAGCAGCCCTTGTCTGGGGAAGGCGCGGCAGGAGTCCCCCTGGGGGAAGAAAGTGCTTTCCACACTGCAGAAATGGATGCAGGAGCACAGCTGCGATGGGCACTAATCTCCCGAAGACCAGAGTTTTAAGAAGCTGCTTCTGTTTTCTGCCAAGGAGTCTGCAGACAGCCCCACGTGCAGGCAGCTGGCTGCAGCGCCTGTGCACATGCCAGAGACTGTTCACATCAAGCTGTCTCGCTCTTTCCCTCTGTCAGCATGGCACCGGCTGCAGGTGGGGGTAGGGAGGCTGGGAGGAGCCCACCTGGGCCCATCGTCCAGGACCTGTCTGGGGAGAAGGGAGTCTCCATTCCAGGGAGGAAGATCAGAGATTCCAGACACAGATTTAAATCTGTTTGTAGCAGTTTTCCTTCTGTGTGATCCTGCTGTGGCTTGTGTCCGGACTGCCCCCTCCCCAAGGCCTCATACAGTCCAGGGCGGCTTCTTCAGAGGTGGCTGGATGTAGAGTGTGTGACGCTGGGATCAGCTCATGGTGCAGTGCTAGCCTCAAGAGCACGAGGACTAAGGGGTGCGCGCAACCCACCTAAGTAGCTTGGATGAGACACGAGGGGCAGAAGGAGCCGTGTCGTCCCCTGTTGCTACTACCCACCATGAGCTGGTTCTCCCCTCAGATACTGTCTGCTCAGCCACTCTGCCTTGGAGCCAGCCAGCTCCGGACTGAAACCTCTGAGCTAAATAAACCTTTCCTCCCTTAACTTGTGGGTGTTGGGTATTTTGTCTCAGCAATGAGAAAAGTAACTAAGACACCTCCTAATCAACCAGCAGGGGCTTTGATTCTGCATTGCCAGCCATCGGTTACCACAAGCAGATGCTGTTGAGCTCTGAGAACACGCCCAGCAGTCTTGCTAGAGCATTAAGTCAGCCCCTGAGTAGTTCTAACTGCAGAACATAAACAGCCAGGATGATGAAAAGTGGACATCTTCTTTCTCAAAATAAATGGCTCACTATCAGAATTAACTGTTATAGCTCTGCTAACACGATCAGGTGTTTTCCACCAACAGGTGAACTGCGTGTCAGGTTTAAAGGACGCAGGGGAAGCCTAGAGAACTGCTGAATGACAAGTGCCTTATTTGCTTTACTTTAAGAAATACTCCGGTGCTGAGCCTCGTGTTTTTCTCTGGTTCAAAACACCACGTAGATGATTCTTTGTCCACATGTCCTGTTTTTCCAGGCCTTTTAACAAGGTTCAGCTCAGCCTTTGTTCTGAAGATTGAAAAAAATGTCTCTGCCAAAAAATGTCTCAAGGCCAACTCTACACAGAGCAGGAAGGGGTCCGTGTGTTTAGGACAGCACACATTTGTGTTTGCTTATAGTTTCTAAACCAAACATTCAAGAAAGATTTATAACTTCTAAAATTCAAAAGGAGACCAAATCGTGATATGATTTCATACTGTTACAGTATTTACTGAATGAATGTTCCATGAAAATAAAATGTTCCTCTGCTTTGTTATTGTAAAAAAAAAAAAAAAAAAAAAAAAAAATTCAATGTAAGTCTTTTAATTGTTTAAATGATCACACCAAAGTTCTGACATCTTGTCTATACAGTAAGTCAGTCCTGGGACTAGAAAGTAGCCTTTAACTAGTTGAACTTGGTTTCCCTCTGGGCTTTGCTTTTTCTCACCTACACAAGGAAAGTTGAATCTTTGGCAAAAAAAAAAAAAAAAAAAAGATTACTGAGGATCTTTGATAAGGCTACCAGGAGCTTCAAGCTTTGAGCTAGATATGGGGTGAGACTCAGGGGTAGGAAGTTCAGTTTCACTTTACTCACTGCCCAACGGGACTACATAACAGCTGCAGCAAAGGCCGCGGCGTGAGGCAGCCCGTGACGCTCCCAGCACAGCCTGGACACACGCTGTGGGCTCCTGTCGGTGGTGGGATCATGTTTTAAGGTCAAGGGAGACATAAAGCTGAGCAGATGATCTGATCTAGTGACTTCCACTCTGCTACAAGGGGCAGGAAGGGCGGCAGCTTGTCACTGTCCTTCACCAGCGACATGGCCCCGGGCCTCATGAAACCGGAGCTGCCAGGGTTTAAAAAAAGAATGGCATCAGGGCAAAGGCACCGCATCCTGGCACCGAACGCCTCCCGGAGTTTCCACCGTCACCAGGGCCCCCCTTGCCTGCTTCTATTTAAACCCCAGCTCCTCACTGCGCTAGAGCAGGCCTCCACAGGGTCCGGTCCGGGACAGGCAGCATGGCCCCAGGAGAGGCTGCGCGGGAGGAGGGCCCGGCCAAGAGGGCCCTGCGTAAGGTGCGCACGGCCACCCTGGTCATCCACCTGGCCCGCGGCTGGCAGCAGTGGGCCACTGAGAACAGCACCAGGCAGGCCCAGGAGCCGCCGGGCTGGGTGCCAGGAGCGACTCCGGACGCAGCACCTGCTCCCAAGCCGGCCAGGCACCCCGCCGCCCTCCAGGATGCCCCGAGGGCCACAAAGTCCCCGTCCCCAAAGCCAGAAGGAAATGAAAACGGACATGGCTCAGGGGAGGCCACCGAAGCCTCATGCATCAGAAGGAAGGAGGTGACCAGAAGTGTGGTGAGCAGGGCTTACGAGAGAGGGGGCGACATGAGCGCCCTCGGCCAGCGGTACGAGCAGGAGGGTGGCCCGCCGGGGCCCGCCCAGCCGGAGGACGCTGTGGACAGGCTCCTCCGCAGCCACGGGTCCCCGACTCGCAGGAGGAAGTGTGCCCGCCTGGTGTCGGAGCTGAGCAGGGGCTGGACGGAGCTGAGCCAGGAGGCGCCCACGTGGAAGAGTGACAGCGTGGACACGGAGGACAGCGGCTACAGTGAGGCTGAGGAGAGGCCGGAGCTGGAGGCGGCCCAGGTGGCCGCCACGAGGATCAAGCGCCCCCTGGCCTCCCAGTAAGTGGAAGCAGTCTGCACCCCTGGGCCGGGGTCACTAGGGGTCCGGGAGCAGGGGGAGGATCCGAGAGGAGGAGGAGGCCCTGAGGGACAGTGCCAGCCCAGCCTAGAAGCTCTGATCCCTGCCACTCCTCTGCAGGGCCCCCAGGACGCTGCCTGCAGCTCTGGAGTGAGGCCTGTAGACAGCCCTTTCTCGGACAGTGGGACTGTGGCTCCCGGTCTCCATGGCCCTAGCAGCGGGTCACTTGATGGCCACGCTGGAGAGCCGTGGGCTCCACACCCCTCTGAGCCATGCACTGTGCCCGCTGGCACATTCCTTCCAGACAGGGGAGGCAGGTTCTCCGGGATGGGGACGGGTGGCTAAACCCCTCCTTTTCCTCTCGGGTTCCTGACCCACGGAGACTGCGTCAGGCAGGGTAGTCCCGCCTGTGCAGGGGACTCCGCACAAGTCCGATGGGACTCTGCCTGAGCAGACTCAGCCACCGCCCCAGAAAGCAAGGCGGCGCTGTCACGTCAACTCCAACGGGCGTTTGGTCACTTGCTGTCACCTGTAGGCACCTTTCTCTCCAAGGGCGGGCCCATCCTCCCCAGCCCAGATCTAGAGCCAGGACTCTTTCCCGGGTCTCTGGGGAGTAACCGCATGCCGGGAGAACACAGGCCAGGCCTCAGACCAGCTGCAGGGCTCCGTGATGACGGTCAGAGCGATCACGTTGCCTTCTGGTGTCTGGCCCCCTTGACGCCGGGACCCATGGCTGAATTAGCAAAGAGCAGGCCAAGAGGGTCGGCTGTCCCAGCACTTCCTCTGACTGCTCCACTTCCCTGCAGAGAGGGTGCCTGGACACAGCAGGGTCTCTCTGTGGGAGGCCACGGCAGACATCTCCCCCTCCTCACAGGCCCCCAGGTCCCCAGCATGTGCACGCGGGACTCTGGAAGGGGTCCAGAGAGCGCTTGGTGCCAGCACACTGGGCGAGCGTCAACGCCACAACCTGCCCGTGGAATCATGACCACAAAGTGACAGGACTGGGCCGGCATGGGCCCCACGTCCACACCACGCCCGGAGGCAGCAGCTCGTGCCCTGCTCAGAGCTGACAGGGAAGAGACATGTTAGGAATGTGTCTCAGCGAGCGAAGCCAGGCTGTCCGAGGCAGATTCATTGTCGTGTCTGGAAGGTTCAGTTTTCTCACACAGAGCGGGACAGGGGAAACATTTTGGTGGATTGTAAGAAAATTTAATTCTTAAAAATGAAGAAACTGAGAAAGTGGACCTGAACTCCATCTTGTACCCACTAAAATACATGTCAGTCTTTGACTACTGCTTTGATTTCTTTCAACTTACATACCAGATTACTGTTCCAAAGTGTAAACTTTTTTGCATTTTCACCTGAAATTTAAAACACCGGATAACCTGGCATCGTTACATTCATTGGCCAACATGACACCCAGGGTAGAGACTTTCTAACCCTAATTTAAACCTGGTATTTCCAGACTTTCTAAACATTGAAAATATAAAAACAATATAGTATTTGCAGAACGAGACAATTTTCCTTTCTTTCTTATTATTGAGTTACAATTTGACAGTGCAATGAGGTTCAAAAAGTGATTCTTGTAAACAATAAATGTTTCTCTTCCTCATAGATTCACTACCATGCAAACCCCATCCCTTCCCCCAAAGACATGAGATTTAACACTGAGTGTTTCAAGTTCCTACTTAAAAGCAGAAGAAAATAAAACCTACATCCAAGAATCAGAGACCCATAACACATACAGTTTAAACAAATTACCTCCGTACGCTATTTTGAGAATTACCTTGTTTGCCTGCCTTTAAATTATAAAATCAATACCAAAGAGATTTTTTAAAAGGAAGACAGTTAATTGCCATGTGGACCCCAACATGATTTGCATTTGTGCACATGCTGCTGAGTTCTTCAGCCTGGTATACAAATGCTCCATGTATTCACAACTGTATCACAAACTCCAGTCCGTACTACTTGGGTTATTTTCATGAATGTGGATATCAGTGCTTATTTGCTGGTTTTTTCATCACTGAAAATCCAGCAGGGGTCTGAGACGGTGCCTGGTCGGTGCCCTGGTGATAGGGCTGGGAGGCAGATGCGGCGGACACACCTCCACACAGGAAGGTGAGGAGTGCCGTCTTGCAGTGCGGGGCTGGAGCACAGCTGGTGCTCAGGAGACGGAGTGCGAAGCAGAGAACTGCACAATGCACCTTCTCCTGAGGCGTCTCCGGTCTTCCCCGGCAGGCAGCCCGGGCCTCAAGTACATCACGAGATTTGGGTCCTGCCGTGACGGGCTGAGCTTTTGTAAAGACGCGGCCTGCCCCTGACCGCTGTGACTGCAGGTCACCGTGAGGATGGAGGACCAAGCTCTCGGTGTGCACCTGTGCAGGCAGAGAAGGAAAATGTCTCATGGACTAGAACCACAGAAATGGCGGCGATGTTTTGGTTTGGTTTTGTTGAGACAGTTCTACATAGTCCAGGCTGGCCTTGAGCTGTCTAGCCCAGGCTGAGCTCATGATCTTCCTGCTTCAGCCTCCTGTGTGCTGGGATGACAGGTGGGGGACACCACAACTGGCAGGCAGGGAAGCTTTTTTAAAACCAAATTTGATCACTTTAAAACTAGGCCTGCACCCTCATGATACCGCTGGCCCACACGGTACAAAGCCAGGTTGGTTTTGTTGATGAGAAAATGCAGTCCAAACTCAAAGGGCACGCGCACGGCTGGAAGCACTCACTGTTCATCCAGCGGTGCAGGCCGAGTGTAGGCCGCAGGAGAGGTGCAGAGCCCAGCCCCAGACAGCTCTGCCTGAGCACGGCTGCGGCCCCGTGCCCGTGCCCGGCTCTAAGCCGCTCTCCTGCAGTTGCAGGCCAGGTCCGGCACTTGGTTCCTTCATTCCTCCAGCATCATCTGCCCTGTGGAGCAGGGACAGCGGTGCAGCGCTCAGAGGTTGTGGGGAGCAGCAGTGAAAAGCATCAGAGCAGCAGCGTGCAGGGTGCGGTGCTACTGCCAGCTAGTATTTAGCGGGTGTAACTCAATACTTGGAGGCTGCCGTGCATCACCGGTACAGCCGCAGATGTGGTCTCCTTAACCCCCACCCAGCATCTGCACATGACTGACTAGTAAAGTGTGTTTGGTGGTGTAAAACCTGTCTTTAGGAAATAACTGATTTTGGAGGTTCTCGAAGAAGTGGATTCCCTCAGACACTTAGAATCCAGTTCCAAAGTGTCACTAACACACAACTTGAACACACACATTTGGATGCATTTTGTACAAGAAAGTTTATTTTTTCTCAGAACAGTTTAATAAAGTATCCTGTTTATTTACAGAGAAAATAATCTAGAAGGGCATATATACTAACTAGGGGAGTGCATGAGTTTTCTTTCCTTTCTCACATTTTGTAGGGTGCCTATATATATTTACAGTGAAGAAATTATAAAGATGCACACTAGGACACTCGTCCTGGGCAGCGTGCAAGGGAAAAGCCACACTCCAGTGTGATCACGCCTTTGCCCTCTCTCCTGCAGGGCGGGCAGGTACGCGGAGCAGCTCAGCTGCAAGGCCCATCGGAAGCACAGCCAGGTGGGCAGCCTGACCGGCAGGTGGCAGCAGTGGGCAGAGGAGCACGTCCAGACCCAGAAGCTCAATCCCTTCAGCGAGGAGTTTGACTACGAGCTAGCCATGTCCACGCGCCTGCACCGAGGCGACGAGGGCTACGGCCGGCCCAAGGAGGGCACCAAGACGGCGGAGCGGGCCCAGCGCGCCCAGCAGCACATCCACCGCGAGATCACGGAGCTGTGCCTGGTCATCCGCACCATGGCGCGCCGCCGCCGGGACGGCAGGGTGCAGGTCACCTTCGGAGAGCTCTTCGACAGGTACGTCCGCATTTCGGACAAGGTGGTGGGCATCCTGCTGCGTGCCAGGAAGCACGGCCTGGTGCACTTTGAGGGAGAAATGCTGTGGCAGGGCCGCGACGACCATGTGGTCATCACCCTGCTGGAGTGACCACGTGGCCATCGCCTGCCCAAGTGACCAGCTGGCCATCACACTTCTGGAGTGACCAGGTGGCCACTGTTCTCCTGGAGTGACCATGTGGCCGCTGCCTGCTCGAGTGACCAAGTGTTGGTGCCCTGTGGAGCGAGCCTTCACCAAGTCAGATGCGGCCCACTCCTGTCCTACCGCTCAACACCAGCCTGTTAAAAACTACAACGCAAGCTGGTCTCCAACAAGCCAACAAATACTAAACAACTCTTACATAAATGAATTTTGCCGTGCTTCTGAAGAGGCTTGAAAACTGTGACACAGAAAACATTTCCGAAAGCACTCACAAAATGTTAAGTATAATTATACTAGTATTTAAAATTCTACTTACCTTTTTAAGAGAAAAATATTTGGCTATCCACTGAAAAAATTACTACAGATTTTACATATTACATCTAAGAAGACTGTGGACTTCACACAGATTGCAAAACATGTCAGTGTCATTTTTTATGAAGATTCCATTAAATTTGGTTTAAAATTCCCAAGAAGTTGGACTTGTTTTACTTTTTAAAGCACAGCATCTCTTACAAGACAGTTACGTCTTCAGCTAGGCTCCAACTGCCGTGCTTACTCCGGGCGCTTGGACGCACCAGCCCCCTGCTGCTGTGGGACCTGAGCAAAGCTCGGGACACACTCTCCGCTGCGGCCCAGGACCGGTGAAGGTGGTCACATCGCAGTGCAGACCGGGCTCCCCAGCCGTCCTGGGACTCCTGTGCCAGCTGCGTTTTCCTCAAAGTCTTAACGAGTCATGCGGCTCACATTTACTTCAGAGCACAATGAAAAAGAAGAATCTTACTGAATCACTGTTGAATTAAAAGCTGACTTAAGGCATTTTAATTTTCTTTTGTATTTTAAACACAGAAACATAACTTTGTCTAAAAGTCATGAAAAAGCAATACTAGTCCTGCCAAGGTAGGAAAAAAAAGAACTGAGTGGGAGCTTGCAAGGAGCCAGCTGTTTCGTACCACCTGCTGCTTGTTAATTTCTCCTTAATTACATTTAACGGCTTACAGGAGCCTAAAACAAAGTGGATAAAATGTGAGATACAATTCTCACCGAATTCAAGGAAAATTATAATACATTATTACACTATTTTGGTAGTAAATACAAGAAATAAGGTCAAATTATTACACCTCAAAATATTAAGTATTCATGATTGTGTTAGGTTTAAACTAAAACACACATTAAACTACCTTAGGCATTATCTTTGCTTTCCTGTATGATTCTTTCAAACTGAAAGTTCCAATATCTTCTTAAAGAAGAAAATGTTTTGTTTCCATACAAGATTTGTAAAATTATAAATTAATGGCAAATATTTCTTAGAATTATGATGCACACTCCTGTAACAGTGAAATCTGTCAAAAAAATCTTAAAAAGGCATAATAAATGATGCTCTTATATTTTGTTCTTTTTTACACTATTTTTAGATTATACTCCATATTACCACTTCTTTGTATTTGAAATACAACAAAATTACAGGGTATCACTTGGGTTTCTCCTACAATCAATAGAGCATTTGGACCAGTGCTTCAAGAGTTCCCTCCCATTCAACTAGAAATGGTGACTTTATGTGGCCACTGACACAGACTATGCAAAATCAATGAGGGCCTGGGGATTTAGCTTAGCGGCACAGCGCCTGCCTGACAAGCCCAAGGTCGTGAGTTCAATCCCTGGTACCGGAAGAAAAACAAAAATCAATCTGAATTTGCGGATGGAGGAAAAGGCCTGTTCTCAGCTATCTGACACTCACAAACACTTCTGAATTGGGCCTGGCTGTAAACCCAGGAAGCTGGTCTGGGAGGGCGCCTGTTGTGTGTCGCAGCGCACCCTCCTGCGCTGGGTGTCGTCCTTAAGAGCTGCTCATATGACACGGGAACAGCTCGTGGGTTGACATTTTCTCTGTTGTATGTTATTAGGCTAAATATATTTTATTTGTAAGACCATTTGTTCTATTATTGTCTTCCAACCTGGAATCCAAAGAATATTTTCTCCTCAACCAAATTATTGTTGTAAAAACCCCACCATAGGGAAATTCACAGTTGAAAAAGTTAGGACCTCGTGACAAACCATAATACAACTCAGCAAACAAGCTTTAATGAAAATTCTCATATTTTTATCATCACAGAAAATATAATTATATTTTATCATAGATAACTATAAATTCCCAGTAACAGGCAGTATACAAATGAGTTCCCAATCTGCAGGGTTTTCCTGTTCCAAACTTTCACAAACTTCCGTATAGTCTACAGTGATAATTTTTTAAGGGATTAAAGAAGATTCCCTTAAGTTTTCACCATTAACAAGTATTGGATCTGAATTTTTTTGCATTGATACAGATGATCACACTTTCTTCTGTTTATGTGGTAAACAGCACCACATTAAAAATGTTCTCTACTCTAGCTTTCCTAAAGTAATTTGGCTATGAAATATTTTGTCACTCTTTTGCTTGTTTTTAGGATTTTGCAGTTCTGTTGATAGATTATCCCATCGTTTTCTATTTTTATGAATATTTTAACATTTTGGCAATAAGGTTGTGCCAGCCTCAAAAGGCAATTTCAGAAGTGTTCTTTCCTCAGTGCCCTGGGACAATTAATTTAACACCAACAGCACTTTTACCTTAAAAACTTAGTGGAACTAGTGGAATCATCTGGGCCTGAGATTTTTCCATGGGAAGGCTATTTCTCTACCTAACTGGCAGATTCAAATTCTGCAGCATAAAAAACGTAACTTTTCCCGTCTTCCCTCCGTTGGCAAGCGTACGGCAGTCCAAGTGGCTCTCATCTCTCCAGGCCTGTGGCGATTCCCTTCACAGTCTCCACGGGCCGCTCACGGTGCTCCCGTGGACAGCGTTATCACCGAAAACTGGGCTGTTTCCGGAAACTGCGTTGTACAGTTGTATTTACTCTTGATTTCTGCTTGTTTAGGTTCAACTTGTTTTAACTTCTTGAGATGGGTGGTGCAGCCTTTCCTTCTGCCTGTCACTTAATGTTACTACAATACTGCAAACATCAACCTCGGAACCCTCTTCATAACCTATGATCTGTGCGGCATTTCATCCACAGGTAGAGCTTCAAACTGCCTTGCATGCAGGTAACTGTTACAGCATTTTATCTTTCAGAGTGGAATAGTGAAATCAATTTTCCTGCTTCCCACACCCCACTGGAGTCCATAGCCGGCTTCACTCCGCTGCCCCTGCCTATCTCTCCCCTGTACACTGGCCATCTGCAGCTTCTGGACCAGCACCTGAGCCCCGTCCTCAGCACCCTGACACCTAAGCAACATCCAACCCCGTGCACCGTAACTCCTAAATCTCTTCCAAGTCCACACCTCCTTGCTCCCCCTCATCACTGCTACGCTTATCCAGACAGCGTCACTCTTCTCTGGACTATGCAACAAGCTGCTGCCTTGCTCTTCCCTCTAGTCTTTCCCGCTGTGAACCTACTTTTCAGAGATGTTCCCACGGGTGCAAAGCCTGTCATGTCTCTTCTCCCCGCCGATGCTCATCCTTGCTCCTGTGAAATAAACGCCGTTCTTGGCAATGAGCACAGAGCCCTTTCAGGCACAGGGCTCGTCCGGTACTCTCACCCACATGAAAACATACTTGAAAGACGCTGAATGATGTGTTTCTCCCAGGTAGGGCCCTGTTCCGATCTCCCTTCCGTGAACTGCAGTGCTGCCTCAGATCTACCCTTCAGTCACTACAACCCCCACTGCCGACACGGTGTATGCTAGAAGCACTGGCTCCAACGCAAACGACAGCATATTTCACACACGATCTCTTAACCACAGAAAGGACCTGATTATTAAATACATCCAAACTCAAGACTGTATCTATGTATTCAGTTTTATTTGGTATATACCACTATGAGCTTATTGTAATTGGAATCCATGACAGGATTTTTAAAATTTTATTTTATGATTAGTCAACTCCACAAAGACAATAATACTGCTGTGGAAGACCAAAGGGAGAAAAAACCTGACGTATTTATTTACAGTTCCCTATGTTGTAAACGCGTCATCTATACACTGTTACTAACATAGCGAGAGCATTACAGAGCCGAGGACACGAAGCCCTGGGTTTCCATTCACAGGCAGCAATAGCATCTTATAGTGGAACACCAGGTCTGCTTTTGATTAGCATTATGCCTTCTTTAGATAATTATCTCTCAAAAGAACCAAATATATTTAAATATTTTTCAACTAAAACTACGTAAGCCAATGTATTTGGCTTATAATTTCATTTTTAGAATAAAGTGCTATAAGTAACCTGGCAATCAACACTTTCTGTAAGAACAAACTACTTTAAACATTAATTTACAAGATATACAGTGTTCATCTGGAATTGCTGAAATCTCAGCACAAAGTCACTGTCACATGAATAACAGCAGGGTTTTTTGCATAACATGAAGCTTTGAAATTTAACTGATGAATTATTGCCACAACGGCTTATTATTGGTTTCCTACAAAAGAGGATAAGAACTACTAGTGTATTCTACCTTTTCACTTTTTTGAGGTCACTTGACAGTAAGTTTGCATATTCACCAAGTCTACTGAGCTACAATATTGTCTACTACAATCACTGCTCTTTGTAAGAGCAAATGCTAATGAAAATAACATATATCACTAAAAAAAAAGAAAAACACTTTTTCCTTTTGAACAGAAAAGAGCCTATATTTTGGGGGCTGATGTGTAACAAGGCTAAAACAACTGAACTATAAAACAGTATATCTGACACAGCATGTTGAGAAAGAGGCAGCGGATGCATCCATGTGTGGTCTGTGTGTTTACGATAATGCCCTATTAAGCTACAAATATGTAAATACTAGAATTTCTTGCTTAATATATTAAATCCAATAGAATCATTAAGTTCTCATTCTCCTTTGTCAATTTAAGCTCTTTATCTGAGAAGCCAATGATGAAAGCTTATGCCCAAACCTGCAGATCATGTGCACTGCAGTCTTACAATCAGAATTCTCCTCAAATTCCACTTCCTTAAAATGAAATCTAGAGTACTTGCACAGTTAAGAAAGAGAATGTCGTAGGGTCAATCAAAACTAGAACTCTCCCAATGGTCTATGAAGTGCGTATTCTTTTGGCATGTGGGTTCCCCTTGGTAAGCATAAGGTTGGCGGGTCCCAATGTCACCTGTGCCACCTCACATGAAGGAAGATATTGTGTCCTCAATGCCCTCATGACACTGCTCTATGAAACAAACAATGGAATTTTAAAAAGCTGAGATCAACAAAAGAGCACCATCCTATAGAAGACTGAGAAAACATGGACTGAAAAAAAAGTGGTCACTATGGTCAAACTACTGTCAAAATTCACAAGAAAAACCTGGTAATGATCTAAACCAAAAGAACTCTGGGACAGGAACATGATTTGCAAAGTAAACTCCAAAATTATAGCTGTAGTAAGTGGTGACGGACTAATTTAAAGCACGAGTGACATGTTACGTTGTATTGCTTCTTGAACATTCCAAACAATGCTTGTCCATGTCAGGTTTGGGCCGTTATCCTGCTCAGACAGACAGCACTGTATTTATTCGAAAGCCCAGATTTCAATGTCTTGGATAAAGAAATCTTCCTTTTTAGAAAGTGTACGATTCCCAAATGTTTTACAAGAATGGCTTCTTCCGTGGTAGAGATCTCCATCAAGCCAAAGAGCAAACTCGCCTCTGAAATACAGAAAAATAACAATCTCTTCATACTCACGCCCTGAACTGTAAAATCATTTAAATGTGGCAATTCATTATCCAACAGGCCTAAAGCCATCGTTTTTTAACTCTTCCTTCCCATTAACCTGACAAGCAATCTTCTTTTGTTCTTATCCCAGTATACAATCATTTACTTACTATACAGATCAAGATATGAGTTCTTTAAAATTAACTCATACAGAATTAACTTTTGAGACAAGGGCCATTCTGTTATTCTTTACTTGGCATTATAAGTTTCTTTTTTATTATATAGTTTTAATATATTTAACATGACTTCTTTAAGATCCGAACCTTTATAACATCTAAACTAAAAGTGAGGCTAACATTAAAGGCCTGGTGAATAAAATTTATAACATGCTAAACTTCGTGAAAATAGTTCCGTTTTGAGTAAGAGGGAGTTTAACAAAGACCTCAGTTTGAAAGGCTTCAAATGGATAAAGACACGACAATGAGATTCTTTAGCAAATAGAGGGACAAGGACAGAACACAGGCGTAACGGGAACTTAGTGAAAGAGAGATAATAAGGTCCAGTGTATCTAACTGAAGTGTAAACCTAGACAGAAAATACAGCAAGGACAGCACTGTTCTACCCTATAGGGAATTTCCCTTTGCATGAAGGAAGGGGCAAGTGGACACAGTGCTCATTCACACAGTGTCCAGAGATATTCTAGTCTCTAAACTGCATCTTAGATATCAGGAGAGGAAAACTTTTAAAAATAAGACTAGCTACATTTCAGTGAAGAAACCCCATGTATCTGTGTGGCATTTATAGCGGAGGAAATTTTAGACGGTGAGAGCTTGCTCGAGGTCTCATGTGCAGTGTGCTATAGCTGCAATCAGATGCAGGTCATGAGACGCCACAGCCCACGGGAAGACTGCCACATCATGACTTGACTTCAGGGAGCGTGCCCTCACCAAGGCTCATGCACTGGAGTGCGGTCCGCAGTGCAGCTGTGCTGACAAGGGCGGGATACCGAAGAGAAAGGCTAGCAGAAGTAGCCCCGCCCCCCAGTAGGGCACCACCCCAGGGAGGTCCCATGGAGCCCAAGGGACTCCTGGGACAAGGATCTGGGGAGCAAGTTGGTGCCTGAGCCCCCCAGGCCGTCTCCTATCTTGCCAGAGGCTCTCCTCTGCACAAGGCCGTTTGCCTTCCTACTTCTCTATGCTGAGATGCAGCCGCAGCCGGCCTTCATCAAAGGCCCAACACATGCTGCTCATCTCAGCTCACAGCAGCTTCCCAATCTGCGAGCTAAATGAATCGCTTTTCTGTACATACTCAGCTTCAGATCTCTGGTTATCGCAACAGAAAATGGACTAAGACAGAAGATCCCTGCTTAGAACTCTGGAGCACACAGCCCCTGTGGCTTCCATTTTCTGAATGTATGCTTTTCCCAAAAGGTAGAAACTTTGCCTTCTTACTAAATGATCCAATGGTTACTTTAGCTTGATGGAATCATATTATAAAATTGAAATCCAGTTCAGGTGGACATTAGCTTCAAATTGTATCATGACTGTGAGGCTTTCCTGGAGAGCTCTAGGAGTCACATGTAAGAATACCACTCAGGGAAGAGCTAAACGATACTCTCAGATTACAAAAACACATGTGATTGGACCACATAAACCTTGTACGTTAAGTCCAAAAACCAAAAAATAACCAAGAAGGCTACAATAACCATGGTTACTTTTCACTGTGATTGTGCCTTTGAAATACCTACTTACGGGGAAGTTGTAAGAAAATTTGTTAGAATCACCTAGGATGATAAGTACACTCATGGGTCAACAGGATTCTGTGGCCTGAAAAAATTATAATTATACACCCTTAATTGTAGGATATGATCACAACACATTTACAAGTCTGGAAACCATTCCACGTCCCTATGCCCTGTAACACCAAGGAAGGAGCTGGCGTGTCTTAGACCCTGTCTGTCTGGGAGCAGGGCAGGCTGCCTCTCACTGAACAAATGAGAAGTGAAGTTCCTCACGCCAGAAGAATCCAATGGACTGATCTGTGCTGTTGAGTAGACCAAAAAACTCTAATAATTCAGGAGTCACTAAAATTTTTTGCAGGAAAAGAAATGCGTACTATTGGATAGTTTCCAGAGAAAACTAATAGGAACACTCTTAGATGTGTCCTACACATTGGGAAAAATGACATTCTACCACGTTTATGTCAACATTTGAGAAGTTAAAAGGCAGTAGGGTAGTTTCCTTTCAAATATCAAAGAGCTACTACTATACTCTAAGGTACAAGACAGGTTTGAATTTAAAGGGAATGGAATACATCGCATTTTAAATGAAGAAACAATACTTTACCAAGACGCAAATACTACACTTGACTATCTTATCAATGTACTTTCTCTGCCATAACCTACAAGTTTGGATTCGAATGTCAGGATTTCCCAAAGACAACCGATTTTATAAATCGCAAACCCAAACGCATTCTCAAAGTTTCTTCAAAAATTTCAAATGTTCAAGAGACTTACCCTCCACCACCAAAAGCTAATGAATCCATGTCTCCTTTGATAAAAAACATATTATCTCCGGTCCACTTAAAGACCTACACAAATGGAAAAAAAAGCTTTACATATATAGATAACAACGATACTAAGCAGTCAGCTCTCCCAGACTCCAGAATTAACCAAGAATTAACCAAGTCTACACTAACACTAACAGGAACGAAAGTTACATAGAAAGCTTAGTTCTGGGTTTTGTGTGACTGTATCTGAAAGCACATCCTCTCCTGCAAAGTTACTCAATCCTGCATCCTTAAATCTTATTAACTCTTCGGACACACTTCTCATTCTGACGTCCATTTTTCTTGTAACACTAACCCTAAATGAAGACCACTCTGAAACAGGGCTGAGGTCTTTCCTTTGGGTATGGCTTTGGTATTCATCATTCTTCCATTAATCATACTCATGATGTATATTTAAATTTCCACTTTCAATTTCTCTGAAGAAAAGTAAGAACTTAACATTTGAGAAATCTGAGGACAAAGCTAGTCATTAATATTCTTAAATATTTTTTCTAATCTTTTCTGAGTATTTTACCTAAACCTAGTAACAATATCTAGAACCTCAGCTTTACCATGTTTTTCAAAATTATTCATTATCATTTGTGATAACACTGTGCTATTCTCACAGTCAAATGTCATTTCATTAACCATGTCATTGCAGCGCTGAGGTAGCGACCTCATAACAAGGTCTGAGATAAGCAGGGGAAGCGCAGGAAGTCCGCGGAGACGATGCGCCCCGGGTACCGACCGGAGCACATCACAGAGGGGACGGACAGCACTGGCACCAGACAGCCAGGCAGGTTTCCAGGGAGCTTGGCTGTGTCATTGGACCCTGCCTACTTTGTTCTTAAGCACTGCTGGCAAAAAGCACACTCTCTCATTTTTTATTTATTTAGTTTTTGGTACCAGGAATCGAACTCATGACCTCAGGCTTGCCAGGCAAGTGCTTACGCCGCTGAGCTATATCCCCGGCCCCTCTCTCATTTTTTAACTGACAATGTTAATTTCTTTTCTCAAGATTAAAATCTAATTTCATCTCTAGGGAAAATCTGACGTTTGAACCTAAATGACCGTGAACCAAAGTGCGTATTTTCCTCGCTATGCCATCTCTTTACATAAACAGATACGTAGCAGCGGTCCTCACCTCAAACTCTGGACAGAAGGTGAACACAAAGGTCTCTCCGGTCCCGTAGAAGCCGTCACTCACTTTGAATGGCTCCGATGCTAATGCACCAAAGACCTAGGGTTGCAAAAGTACATTCAAGGCATGGCTATTAATTTGTTTCATTAAGCATTACCCTCATCATTTATGCTTAAATCAAATGCAAAAAATTGAAATCTGGAATACTTTTATGTACTACTTAAAAAGAGAAAAATGTTTTGTTATATAATTCACATTCTTGTCAAATACAAAGCACATCAGCTTCTCAATGGGGAAGAATAGATGTTTTCTAATTTTGAAATCTAAAAAGATATTTATTATAACAATTAAATAGACAATTGAAAAAGTGGTAAATATACTTCAGGAGGACTCCCAAGGACAATAAATACATAATAAGGCTAACATTCTGTCGTGGTGCTAAGAAAAGCACAAATCCTTCGATCCAGGTAAACACTCCAGCACTGAAGTGCGGGCGACTGTCTCCTGCAGCATTAGAAAACTTCCTGAGGGGACGCTCTGGTCTGAGATGCTGGCCCCGGGCCGCACAGCCTCGCACGGCGCGCCGCAGACGCCCAGTGTCAGGACCGATGACACGCGTCACTGCCGTGTGCTGGGGCCACAACTCCACGTCCGAGCAGGACGGCGGAGAGGCTGCTGGGTGATCTCTGCAGTCCCCCTCTCTCCTGTCAGGCTTTCTCTATACTCCTAATTTTTAAAAGACTCCTCGACTGAAATGCTCATCCACATGTCCAGAGAAGTGCACGAAATGCAAACACGTAGTCACTATGGAATCGATGCAAAGTGAAGCCCCCGACATTCAGCCCTGACGTGAACACTGCTGAGAAGCCTGAGGAGCCCCCCGCCTCTTCCGAGCAGCAGCCCCGCTCCTGAGCGGCACCCGATGCCGCACAGACTCAGCCTGCCCACTCACGGCAGCCTGTGAGCGGAACCGTGGGGCCGGCCCTCTCTCTGTGAGGTTCTACTGCAGCGCCGCGCTCGGGACCCTCCTCTGCGCCACAGCGGCAGCAGGAATGCACTCCTGTGTGCACTCGGGCCTGGTCTTGAGTGCTTCATCTTGGGCAAGTGAACTCAACCCCAAAATGGAAGACTGTGTCAACCTCCTGGGCACTGACGAGGGAGCTCTACACGGCTGAGCTGACCAGTCAACTATGCAGCACCTAACAGACACTACGCTGCTCGCGTAGCCAACGATTTACGTTAATTAATGGTGCTAGCTCACGCTCGCATTCCTGTCCCGTGCTGCTAACTGACCCGAATGAACTATGCTAGGGGCAAACCAGTGCTTCTCTCTCCACTGTGGTTTTGTTCTCCCTGTTACTATTAAACAACCAATTAGTTTTGTAACAGTACTGGGTATTGAACCCAGGGCCTTTGCAGTGAGTAGATACCCCAGTGCTGTTTAGTTTTTACTTTGAGACACTCTCACTAAGCTGCTGTGTTGCCTAGACGGGGCTTGAACTGGCCGTCCTCCTGAGCGTGCCTCTCAGAGTGCGGGGAACAGGCGTGTGCCACCATGACCGACTACGGCTGTCTTTACCTACCAAAACTCTACCCAGGCCTCGCGACCGTCAGTCCCTACCCCGTCCGTGAGCCCTGCCGGTATGAATGACTCTTCACACGCCACTTTCACCTCTTCTGGGGTCTTACTACACTTAGCGTATTTTCAACATCAGAGATAGGAACATCATGAGATGTTCTTTTCTACCACACCACACCACACTCTCTGGAAGACAGACACTCACAGTGGTTCACATTCATGTTTGTATTACTTGCATTTACCCTTACTCCACTCCGCAGTGCCCTGCATCTAAAATCACCCGGTAACAGTTACACAATGTAATGTGCTGCTGGAATGATTTTTCGAGGAGACGCCTGAAGTATCGCCACCGTGGCCCCGACTGACAGGGCAGCCGCGCGCTGAGTCTTCCTACCTGGCCGTCGCTATCCTTGATCACCAGCAGCACCGGGGTGTCCAGACCTGCCATGGTCCGGTACAGGGTCTTCAGGCTGGTGCCGTGCTTGCCTGTCCCATAGACCAGCGTCCACGGGTAGCCAATCGTTCTTGGTGGAAGATGCTTGGTGAGCTTGGGGAAAGAAAACGCCAGCTTTTACTGGATAGCTTAGGACCGGGGTGCAGGATACTAAGAGGAGTTGGAGTTTAACTGTACTTATAAAATGTAGGCTATAGAAAGAAAAACTAGTAGCTTATCATTCTCAAAGATGCTGAGACCCTTGAAAGCCAATCACTTGTCTCTCTGCATGAAGGGTGAGTTGTCCACTAGGGCAGGAATCATGAGGGGCCAGAAGCGAGAGAGACAGACTGCTTCTGCTGGTGCCCTCCGTGCTGAGCTAACAGAGACAAGGACGGCCGCTCCTTGACTGCTGCGACACTTGCTTTTCTGGTACCGGGAATTGAACTCGGACTTTGTGCTTGCCAGGCGGGCACTTGCGTCACTGAGCTATATCCCTGGCTCTGTTCTTTGATTATCGAAACACTTTCAGATAATGGGCTCTAGAGCAAGAGAATCGGAGTAGAAATCAGGCTTCAGTGACTGTATCAACAATTTCTTCACTTCTAAAAATCTGCACACTGACAACACCCAAGTCCCACAGCTGTTGTCAGGACTACATGAGGTAACACATGGGCAGTAGGAGCAGAGGGACAGACCAAGTCCAGGCCATGATCCAGGCTGGCCTGGGCTGCTATGGTCATTGTCCGTGCGTCGCTGATGTCCAGCTCCTCCTCCCTCTGCTCACAGCAGCTGTGGAGTCTCGCTGACTCTCTGAGGGCAGGGGAGCAGCAGCCCTGAAAATGGCCACTCGCCTCCGACGCCACACACACAACACACACGTGCACGGATGGTCGCACCTTCTCAATCTGGTCTGGCAGCAGGAGCTCGCTGGGGTCACTGAGGTTGGGCCGAAAAGATTCAGACTCCAGCTCTGCTTTCACGGGAGCAGCCTGCTTGGAACTGATGTCTTCCCGGGTGGTGATCTGAGAAGGAAACAGGCACAGTGCGTTACTACGCGGTTATGATACACGCTCCTGAGTGTCCGTCTTTACACCTCACAAGTGGTGGCTAAAGCTTAGCTTAGGATTCTGTAAGGTTAAAGATCCCCCATCTACTGTCAGTGGTGCGTCCGATACAGAGAAAGATCTTCAGACACCGTTTTCATCCACCACATGAGGAAGAACTGCTAATGAATTTACTAGTTGCCAGAATTTATTTGGAATAAGAAGATTGGTCCCCATATTTCTGCATAATGGGAGGCAGTTCCACGCAAACTTTAGCCCTTGAAGTGTCAAAGTGAGCCCACCAGCTGGTTTTTAATTAGCTGCTACTTAAAATATGTAGGATTATTTTTTCATGCTAAACTTAACAATTGTCAAAAACAATTATGAAAACTTCCTGGGAATCAAAACTTTAAAGAACAGTGAAAATAAAAAGTCCATCATTTTTCCTCTTCTGGGTATGTATGTCTATATTTACTTGCATCACTGAAACAGTTCTCATTTTAAAAAATGTTTCCATTTTTTAATTTTTCAAACATCACATTTTTTTCTGGTTGAACTAAACAATACATTTTGAAGTTAATTTGTTCACAAATTCTTTTAAAAAATTAGATCATCTCATTTTTTGCTTGGTATACTCAGTATGATAAAATGTTAAATATTAAATGTTAAAAGTGATTAATTAAGAAAAACACTAGTATACAGTCTATTCTGTTAGTACTTTTTATATTAACTTTAATATATGAAACATCAGAAAATAAAGGCTATGAAACATTACTGAGGACGCCTTTCCACTGGAAAGTGCGCAGCGCTCTCTGGAGCAGATCACTAAGATGCGGCAGAGGCTGGGTGCTGGCTTGCCGGGAACGGAGCCGCCAGGGTACTCCGTCCTCCAGCGCGCCTCTTGCCAGACCTGCACAGTGCCTGCCTCCAACAAGTACATGCTACACACCTGCATTGCTTTAGATGGGAAGCTCGATGTGAATGCTTTCACATCACCAGTGATGTGAAAGTTTAAAGAAAAGGAAAAGAAAAAGAAAAAGAAATCCAAAGCAGCATTAAAAGAAAAGAAAAATACCCAGCAGGTCCATCAAAACCACAAAAACATACCTTACTAAGATGCTGGAGACACACAGCTCATAATGCACACACTGAAAAATGAGTTTTCAATTGTCTTTCTTTTTTTAAAAAAAACATGAAGATTATTTCATCCATTTTTAAAAAATTTATTTACTTCTGCTGCCTAATCTATATTACTCCAGAGTACTTCTAATACCAATTAAGACTGCCTCAAGAACAAAAACAATTTGTCTCATTAAGATGTGTGATGTGGAGTTATACAACTGAAATAAAAAATTTTTAAGCCTTGCTGTCTATTGAACTTTTAAAATTTTCCTATAAAGCCACATTTTTCAGGTTGTTTCATACTAAATCTCAAACCAGATATTCTTCCATTATTAAATTTAAATGAAAACTCATTGAGTTTCACTCCAAAGAAACACACAGTTCTGAGACTAGTTCTGAAGTGACAGAAAATTATTCTGAATATTTTTCAAATGAGAAGATGACAGAAAAGATAATCCTACAGCTCTCCAAAGCAACACTGCTTCAATACAAAAGGGATTTTCTGATAAGTTACTTTAGTGCTGGAGTCAAAACAAACCCTTCAAATGTGAGGTTTGCCCTGACAGAGGACACTAAAGCAAGGGAGTACGCAAGCTCCGGAGGGTATGAACTCGGAGGGCACCTGGAGACGTCTGCAGAGAGTGCGCAGCTCCTCGGTATTTAGAGCATCGATCCTGCGGTGATACTCAGCCACTGACACTACCTGAATGTGGAGACAGGAAGACAATAATTCCGCTGACAGTTGAGAAAAATATCCAAAAGCAAAGAAAGACAGAACAGGCAGGGGGAGAGGGAGGGAGAGAGAGGGAGAAAAAGAGAGCAAAGCAAAACGAAAAAAGGAGAAATTTAAATGGGGAAAGAGAATTGTAATTAGGAATTCTTTTCCCACTTTAGGCTGAAAATTCAAGAGATTTGCCTATCAAACTAGAGAAAAATACACAAGAATGAGTTTCACCACTAATCCAACAAGTTGGAAACAAAGAATTTATTTTACGGACTACTTCTATAGACTGATTTGACGTAACAGATCATGGTGTGTTTTTACATACAGTAAACACTGTGTCTAATATAACATGCTTTACTAACATCAAAGAGAACAACTAAAATCTACTGGTCTTGCAGTTCACAAAGAACGTGGTGGTTTCAACCACCCCCTCAAGCCAGCTGAGCTCCAACAGTACACCCCAGTGGCCACGTGGGAAGAATCTCTTCCGGGCACAGGTGACAGACCCCATCTGTACAGAGGGAACGAGGGGAAGGGGCAAGCAAAGACACGAAGTACACTGGAAACCAAGGCAATAAAAAAGTGAGCTCAACAAAGCTGAAATTCAATTCCAAAAAGCATGTCTAATCCACAGTAACTTCCCGGGCATGTCTACCTGAGTTCTTATGTATTTTTCTTGTTTTTGCTTTTATGTTATTGTACTAAAGCATAACAACTTTGCTAACGCCTAACTTCCTCAGGGAACTCTATCTTCTGTAAATGCCTGGATCATTCGCTTGCGTGGTGCTGAATGTGAAAGCCAGGTAAGACACAGATCAGTGTACAGGAAACCCACACACACAGAAACCCACGAGTTTCTTCAGGCTGACACAACAGCGACAGCTTTTCCAGATGATGACATAATTACAAAAACCGTTAGCCTGATACAGTGAACTCAGGGCCTCATACACCCGGGCTGGTTCTCCTGAGTGACGGCACCTTCCCCGCTATGTCAGAACAAGTGTGTGCAGGCTGAGGTCTCATCACGCAGGGAGAGCTTAGACCTCTCACACAGGTTTTAAAAGACTCCTGTTCTAGCCAACGATGCATAGCTTGTTGAAAGATGTAAATGCAAGACAACAAAAAAAAGAAAAACGAACAGGACAGTCTCACCCTGGCCACGGTTTCAATACAGACTTGCACTGAGCAACAAGGCGTCCAACCTAGTGGAGCTCAGTCTGTACTGAGCCCTCCCACCCCCACTCCCCAACGACCCCTCAGCCCCAAAGGGTCTGTGGAGCCATGGAGTGCTTATGCAGACTCCAGCTTGGGTGAAGAATCAGTGGGCAGAGGTTGAGGAAGTCCAAAAGCACACACCAAGTGGAGTTTTATGCTAATTAAATGGAAAAAATGGCCGAGTACAGTGCCCAGCATTCTAATAAGAGCTGCGGTTAACACACTTTTACTTGGTCACTTTCACCAGTTACCCTAAGGATTAAATAATAGTGGCTGAAGAGCCTCCTTATTTATTTTTCTCATTTTAATATTTTAGGTTGGTGATTTATATATTTTGAAAGCTTGATCTGAACATTTAATTTTAAAAATTTCAGCATTAGGTAAAAATAAAAAAGATCTTTCACTTAAAAACAGAATTTTCAATGAAGAAATATTAGCTACTAAAATGAGAAATCATAGCCATGCTTTTCTATGGCCAGAAAAAGAAGCCTCTAAACATATTTAATGGCCAATTATGTTTTTTTCTTTTTTCCATGATATCCAAATAATCAAGTTACTTAGACAAGAATTCTCAAATCACGAGACTTATCTATTCTTCTGCATTTCTTCTCTTCTTCCAGTTAACCTTATTTTATCCATTTAAAAAATCCTTCATGTACCATATTAAACACACTCTTTGGATGGAAGGAAACGGCCCTAGGCTCACAAACTGAATCAGTTATAGTCCATCTCAGCACCATGAAGAGTAGCAATTAGTACAGAACAGCGAATGCCATCGTGAGTATAAGCTTAGAAAGGGGGAAAGCCAGGTTCTTTATTGTCACACAGCCAACTTTCCCACTTATATTTTTAAAATTGTACTTTTTCTAGGACTTAAAAACGTACTGTCTCTCTAACCCTAACATTTGCTCATGTCTTGATTAGTGAAGATACTGGAAATTGTCACAAGAAAGTTTGAATTAAAGAGGAAAAAAAAGGATGTGAAATTGAGTACAAAAATATACTTCCACCTTTCAAAAAATAGGTAAAAAGAGATGTAGGTTTCTAGAATATGTGATAGAACCTGAGTTAGTCTTACATCAAATTTTATACACTTGATAAATCATTCCACATGTACAAAATTTGCTACTGTGCTCCAAAGGTTAAACCTAAGAGCAGAGATACATTTGTACAGAATATCCCACCTCACACTCCTAATTATAGGGTACACACTGAGGAAACCAAGCCCTTCCACCTAGAAGCATAGTCACTGTCTACCTAAAAGTCACTTCCTGAGTGGTAACAGGGCCTGGGTCCGCTGGGCAGGACCTGTGTCATGACTATGCTCTGTAGAACTGAGGACCACTCTCCAGTCTTTGAACATCTTCCTAAGCATTTCCACAGAATCACAGTATTGTCCCATAGGATTAAATCCATCCATTTCTGTTACACACAGCAAAGCAACAGCAATCCAAAAGGTAAAGAAACTTCTCAGCTGCTGGCAGGCCTACAGACACGAGCACGCTCACCTCGGAGACATGCCGTTCGGGGCCTTCTTGGCCCACAGGCCTCCTTCCAGACGCTCTGGCAGGGCCCTCTGATTCGGGCCCCCAACAAACCAAAGGTCCCTGCTTCCCCTTGCTCCACCTGTCCTGCAAACTAAGCAAAGTCTCACAGGTCTCGTGATCATGCCAATTTTTACAGTCTCTTAGTAAAAGATGGGGTAGGAAGAAAAGTGCGATCTAACATTACTTGTACTTAACTGGTATTCCATATGTATGTTGAAGGGGGAGGGACTATAAGCTTCAGCTACCGCAGCTAACAAAGTAAGTCATTAACAGCGTACCCAAGGTCACACAAGCTTGTGCCTCATCACACACAGCAGTCTTCATTACAAAGTAAGACCCAGATTACAATAAAACTTCACTCATTTCTCCTAATTAAACTATTGTTTTAAAAATAACCCTTCACGGAACTACAACAAAAGAGATATAGAGAACAAAAGAAGACTCATAAATTAGATAATTAAAAAACAGAATTGATAGAGGAACAAAGAATTAAATGGAGAATGAATTTAAAATAGAACACATTATTATAGTTTTGATTTGAACAAATCTTCTGCATTTAAAAATCACTTCCTCATAAAATATATTTGCAGATGACTCAAAGATTTTCATGCAGACCTAGTCACTGTTCTTTTAGTCAAAGAGAAACCTACAATTAGTTAAAACCATTGCATTATAATACACATATACTGTATTAGATCCCTGGGACAAAAACTATAAAAAGTCTCATAAAAAAGTAATAATCTTGCATACTACAAGCATGTCAGGGGAGAGGAGCTTTCACTACATAATTGTGAATTCCTCAGTGTTTAGTACAATCTGCAGAACAAGAATGTGGTTTTGAAATAAAAAGTAAGGGTTTTTTTTAATGTTTTATTCTTCTGGATCCGTTTGTCTTTTGATAAATGAATATAAATTTATATACTGAGTTAATGGGGTTTTTGTGAGACATCTTTTCCATGAGTTAAAATTTAAAAGGATAATATTGTGAAATTTTTAAATTACTGTTCAATATGATTTTAAATTACCTTTTTCATTGATAATTTATTCTTCCACTACTTTTTTTTTTTTTTGTGGTTTTTCTCCGGTACCGGGAACCGGACTCACGACCTTGTGCTTGCCAGGCAGGCGCTTTTGCCGCTGAGCTAAATCCCCAGCCCCTCTTCCACTACTTTTAATGTTGACTTCAGCAAGTATTTTAAAGTCTACCTGTATCTCACCATGCAAAAAAACAAAGTGGTTCGGAACCCAGCTGAAGTGTGAATGCTAATGGTGGCTTCTCCGTGATGGTACCAGAGCTGGGTGCCAGCACCAAGTCAGCCCACAAGGTCTGGAGAGGAAGCCTGTGTCCTTATGAGCCAGTGACTCCAAAAGACGCTTAACAGAAGCAGCACAGTCTGTTGGGAATAAGTAATCCTATGGGTGGGACTCGGTTATTAAGAGAAAATGAACATCAGGTCACCTGTAAGGTAATTAACTTTACAAAGCCCAACACAAGTAACTGAACACTTTACTTTAGATGTTGAAAGTATTAGACATAAACTACGTGTGAAATGGTAAAAAAAAAAATCCAAAAACAAGCAAACAAGAAGATTAGAAACTGAAAAGCATATTTAAAAAATAACCAAATAAAACTTTTATGACTAGTAACTGTTGAAAATATTTGAAAACAATAAATTAAAAAGTTGACAAGTGATTGAGCAAACTAGGAAACATGGCTGAAATCACCTACAAGAATTACTGAGAACAAGGAGATGCTAAAGATAAAAGATAATGGGAGACTTGTGAATAATGAGAAAAAATCTAGATCTGCTCCAATTAGGTCCTAGCAAAACAAAAACATCTAAGCTACTACTTGAAAATTTTCCAGAATTAAGACAAGAATTTAGAGATTCTAGAAGCACTCTGTACCCTACAAAAGAAACATGTAAACAGCACACTGAGTGAAACATCCTAGGATAGCACTGAAAGCGACGTCCTCAAAGGCAATGAGGGAACAGATTTCCGAATCCTACTAACCAGGAAGCAGGCCTCCCTCCAGCCAGCACAGATCCTCTCGGGCCAGCATCCTAACCCACCAAACAGCAACTCGGGACGAAGGACAGTCACTACAAAAGACCACAAAACACACAACAGCCTATGGCAGAAATAAAACGTCCAACCTACAATTGTTTATTCAATAAAACTACTTTACAAGATGAGAAAGATGAAAATGCACCG